TTCTTCAGTAAACTCTGCATTGAGTCTTCAAGTAAATAATAAATAAGTAGAATCAGTAACATTGGGTTACACGTCAGGAGCCAAGGAAAACCTTGGAACTTTTTGCCTTGTTTTGTAATTGCTTCTTGTTGCTACCAGTGTTTTCAGTCTTTCAGTCGTTCTTGCTGATGGTCTTTACCAGTTTATTTTCTCTGACATTTCTTCGGTCACAGCAATCAGACACAGATTCACCATTCGTAAATGGCTTTCTTTGCCTACCTGACAAGTGAACCATTCAGAAACTTTATTTGGTTACAGCCTCATTTTAACCTTTCTTCTTGTGAAGAAATCTTGCTGTAATAAGATATTCTGTTTTTTTCTAATTTTTTTTTCTTTTGTTTTCCTGTACGTTGGGAGTATTGTGGTGAATGCTTTATTGGCTGTGCTGATGTATAAGGTATTCTTACAGCACAGCCATAATGTTGTTGCACAATAAACATGATGCTTTGCCCTCTAATTTGATAAGAAAATAGCCCACACTCCATTGTGCCTTAGAAGCATGGCATTCAATTTGAAGTCCACTCTTCTCTTTCCTGTTTTTTAGTGATAACCTATGCACTGACAAGTTTTTTGTTTGTTTTTTTTTTTACTTCCCGTACGCCCGAATTTCTTTCTTTTTTTTTTTTTTTTAGTATTATTTGGCTGCGTTGGGCCTTGGCTGTGACATGCAGGATCTTTCGTTGTGGGGTGCTGACTCTCTAATTGTGGTGCGTGGGCTCCAGAGAGCTCAGGCTCAGTAGTTGTGACATGTTCAAGCTTAGTCGCTCTGCAGCAGGTGGGATCTCAGTTCCCTCACCAGGGATCAGACCTGTATCCTCTGCATTGCAAGGTGGTTTCTTAACCACTGGACCACCAGGAAGTCCTTGCACTGGTAAGTTTTTAAAAATGTTGCAATACATCAGTATACATTGCACTCAGAATGCTGTCCAGTTTGTCACAGCAATTTGCTAGTGCATCACGTAACAGTGGGAAACATCTCTCACAGCTCCTCAACCCTACCATTGCTCTGTAAGACTAACCATAGGCTGTACATAAATGAATGAGCATGGTTATATTCCAATAAAGCTTTATTTGTGGGTACCAGAATTTGAATTTCATATTATTTTGTGTCATTAAACAATATTATCTTGACTTTTTTCCAATCATTTGAAAGCCATTCTTAGCTTGTTGCTCATGCAGAAACAGGTGGTAGGCTAGGTTTGGCCTGTGGGCTGTATTCTGCCAGTGCCTGCTTTACAATTTAAATACATTTGTAGGCAACCTGTGTTGCCCAGAATACTGCATGCTTGCCTGGGGCCCCCTGGTGGCTGAAGGGAGCAAATAAGTCTTGAGATGGTCAAATTTCTGAAGCACCATGAATTTGAGAATTCTAGAGTTGGAAATCTAGATGTAGAACTGTTTATCATAGGGAGATTGTAGTGGCCACTCTTATCATTTCCAGAATGTGGGCTTTGGTGACACTTAGGAAAAAAGATAAAACAGCACTCCCCGAAATTTTGTATGCAAATCTCAACAGTGCTTTAAGACATCATTCTGATATAAAAAATATGTCACTTCATCTGCAGTTTATTTGTGTGAAGGATGTGAGTTTCAGCATTATTCAACACAAAATGGCACTGGTACAATAATTACATTTGAATGAACCCATATCTTCCAAGGGTAACTTTATTCTCTTTTCACTCATCCTTTTTTTTTTCCCACTCAAAGGCTTCAAGTTTAATATATTGATAATTTTTGCTACTTTATTAAGTACATTTCTAAGTAAATATTAAGTACATTTCTAAGTAAAACTGGGTTTTGTTTTAACTATGAGAGTATGGTAGTGAAGAATTCAGTGACTTTGTATAGTTGGGTGCTGCTGTCTTGCTTTGAACCAGGGTACCAGCAGTTTTTTGTATTTTTGTTTTTAAAATTTTAGTAAACTATACATAGCATAAAATCTACCATCTTAACCGTTTGTAAGTATATAGTTTAGTAGCATTAAGTATAATCCCATTTTTATGCAACTACAGGGGTGAGTTTTTTTAATCTGCCATTTTAAATTCTTGATCCAAAAAAATGAAACCCTCCTGTTCTGGTCAGTCCTAGGTCTACTGTAGTATCTAGGAATGAAATTATCCTCAAATATAGTAGAGATCATGTCATTCCCTTTTTAAAACTTTGGTGGTTTATATTATCCTTAGAATAATATTTAAACTCTTTACCATGATCCTTCTAGGTTTTGCCTTTCTGTTTTCCCCTTTCGGTTGTTAGCTAGCTCTAGCATAGTTGGGCCGTTCATTTCCTCAGAGAAGCCAAGGTCTCACCTGACTCGCTGTTTGCTTGTGCTGCCCAGTGGCGTTGGAGCTGCCCTGGTGCTGAAGCTTGTGTACCCCTGCCTCTCCGCCACCACCACCTCCCTTTTCTTTGCTTGCTGGTTCCTGTGCTGTCTTCTCAGAAAGGCCATCCCAGTACTCTCTGTAAAATAGGTTCCTTCTTTAGACTGTTTCCCCCTACTTAGTAATACTACAATTTTTGTTTTTGTCAGTCTCCTAACCTATCCAAATTAACTTCCCCTCCTGCTTACTCCATTCTCCTTACTCTCTTTTATTTTTCCTTATAGCAAATATAGCCATCTGACATTTTACTAGAATGTAAGTTCTAAGAGGAAGGGGACTTTGTTTTGTTTACTCATATGTTTTCAGTGTCTGCAGCATGTCTGCTATATAGTACCTACTCGAAAAATATTTAACTGAATGATCACATTACTTTTTGGCTTTAGGGCAAAATACACATAGATGATTGAAAAGTGAGTAGGACAAAGTTAGGACTGGCAAAATGGGAATGTGGAAAGAAACTGTTGTTGAACTGAAGAAATAACCAATACTGTTCTACCTTTGGACCTTGTGTTATTGTTAAATGATAAATATCACCCTCCCCTTCAGCTATTTTTGAGTTCAGTTTTCTGTCTTTTGCAGCCTGCAAACATTGTATTTCATGCAGAATCATTTCAATCCTAAATAGCACTAAATTAAAAAAAAACTTTATTTATTGTCCACACCACACAGCCAACCAGAGATCGAACCCATACTCCCTGCACTGGAAGTATGGAGTTTTAACCCCTGGACCACCAGGGAAGTCCCTAAATTACTCTGAATTTAAAAATAACATCTTGATTGAAGAAACTGATTGTTCTGTCCCTCCAGTGTTGCAAATTGCCAACACTCATTGGATCATAGAGAAAGCAAGGGAATTCCAGAAAAACATCTGCTTCGTTGACTACAAGAAAGCCTTTGACTATGTGGATCACAACAAACTGGAATATTCTTGAAGAGATGGAAACACCAGACTACCTTACCAGTCTCCTGAGAAACCTGTATGTGGGTCCAGAAGCAACAGTTAGAACCTTACATGGGACAGCTGACTGGTTTGACATTGGAAAAGGAACATGTCAAGGCTGTATATTATCACCCTGCTTATTTAACTTACATGCAAAATGCATCATGCAAAATGCCAGGCTGGATAAATCACAAGCTAGAATCAGGAATGCTGGAAAAAGTGTCAAAAACCTCAGATACGCAGATTATACCACTCTAATGGCAGAAAACAAAGAGGAACTAAAGAGCCTGTTGATGAAGGTGAAAGAGGAGAGTGAGAAAGTTGGCTTAAAATTCAGCAGTCAAAAAACTGAGATCATGGCATCCGATCCCATCACTTCATGGTAAATAGAAGGGCAAAAGTGGAGGCAGTGACAGATTTTATTCTCTTGGGCTCCAAAATCACTGTGGATGGTGACTGTGGTCATGAAATTAAAAGATGCTTGCTCCTTGGAAGGAAAGCTATGACAAACCTAGACATCATGCTAAAAAGCGAAGACATTGCTTTGTCAGCAAAGGTCCATATAGTCAAATCTACTGGTTTTTCCATTGGTCATGTATGGATGTGAGAGCTGGACCATAAGAAAGGCTGAGCACCAAAGAATTGATGCTTTTGCAGTGTAGTGCTTGAGAAGACTCTTGAAAGTCCTATGGTCTGCAAGGAGATCAAACCAGTCAATCCTGAAGGAAATGAACCTTGAATAGTCATTGAAAGGGCTGATGCTGAAGCTAAAGCTCCAGTACTTTGGCCACCTGATAGCCAGAGCTTACTCATTGGAAAAGACCCTGATGCTGGGAAAGATTGTAGGCAAAAGGAGTAGAGGGTGGCAGAGGATGAGATGGTTAGATAGCATCACCTACTCAGTGGGCATGAATTTGGGCAAACTGCAGAAAATAGTGAAGGACAGGGAAGCCTGGTGTGTCGCAGTCCAGGGGGTCACAAGGAGTCAGACACGACGTGATGACTAAAAACAATAACACATCCTTTCCGTTAATAAACTAGTGTGTATACTTACAATTAAAAACTTTTCTGGAGTAGGAAATGGCAACCCACTCCAGTCTTCTTGCCTGGAGAATTCCATGGACAGAGGATCCTGGTGGGCTGCAGTCCATGGGGTCGCAAAGAGTTGGAGACGACTGAGTGAATAAACCTTTGAAATAAGCAAAAAAATAAATAAATAAAAAATAAAAACTTTTCAAAAACTCTGCTTTATTCTTTATTTACTTCATTTTTACCTGCTGACTCCAGATGAGGCTGACTTTATATGATCATATCATTATATAGTTTTGTGGACATTTTTTAGAATTATTAATGTGATTATTTCTTTTATAAAAGCATTGTTTTCAGATTCTCAATTTTAGAAAAATGTGGAAATAAAAAGAAAAAATTGCATAAAACATGATAATTGCACGTATCCACAGATACATTAAAACACACAGACACACCACTCTTTAGTGGAGCTAATGATGTACATTTTTTGTTCCACTCTCTTCTCTCAAGATTATTATTATTTACATTCTCATCTAGTAATTTATACAGCTAAAATTTCTAATTTCTTGTTTTGTTAATTATTTTTCTTTTTTGCTCCCCCCCAACCCCCATAGATCTTGAGCCAGATGATTGTGCATCCATTTACATCTTTAATGTAGATCCACCTCCATCTACTTTAAACTCACCACTTTGCTTACCACATCATGGATTACCGTCTCACTCTTCTGTTTTGTCACCATCGTTTCAGCTCCAAGGTCACAAAAACTATGAAGGAACTTGTGAAATTCCTGAATCTAAATACAGCCCATTAAGTGGTCCCAAACCCTTTGAGTGCCCAAGTATTCAAATTACATCCATCTCTCCTAACTGTCATCAAGAAATTGATGCTCATGAAGATGACCTACACATAAATGACCCAGAAAGGGAATATTTGGAAAGGCCTTCTAGAGATCATCTCTATCTTCCTCTTGAGCCATCCTACCGGGAATCTTCCCTTAGTCCTAGTCCTGCCAGTAGCATCTCTTCTAGGAGCTGGTTTTCAGATGCGTCTTCTTGTGAATCTCTTTCACATATTTATGATGATGTGGATTCGGAGTTGAATGAAGCTGCTGCGCGATTTACTCTCGGATCCCCTCTGACTTCTCCTGGTGGCTCTCCAGGAGGCTGCCCTGGAGAAGAGTCCTGGCATCAACAGTATGGACTTGGACATTCCTTGTCACCTAGGCAATCTCCTTGCCACTCTCCTAGGTCTAGTATCACTGATGAGAATTGGCTGAGCCCCAGGCCAGCCTCAGGACCCTCATCAAGGCCTACTTCCCCTTGTGGGAAACGGCGGCACTCTAGTGCTGAGGTTTGTTACGCTGGGTCCCTTTCACCGCATCATTCGCCTGTTCCTTCTCCTGGTCACTCCCCCAGGGGAAGTGTAACAGAAGATACCTGGCTCAATGCTCCTGTCCAGGGTGGATCAGGCCTTGGCCCTGCGATTTTTCCATTTCAGTACTGTGCAGAAACTGATATTCCTCTGAAAACACGGAAGACTTCTGAAGATCAAGCTCTCGTACTACCAGGAAAATTAGAGCTCTGTTCAGATGACCAAGGGAATCTTTCACCATCGCGGGAAACTTCAACAGATGATGGCCTTGGATCTCAGTATCCTTTAAAGAAAGATTCATCTGGTGACCAATTTCTTTCAGTTCCTTCACCCTTTACATGGAGCAAACCAAAGCCTGGTCACACCCCTATATTTCGGTGAGTTGATGGAAATGACTGATGGTCATTTTTCATGTTTATGTTTATTGGTGGCATGTAATTACTATGTTATCTATGTAGAATAATTTGACCATCTTTCCTTCTTTTTTTTCTTTAGTTTCTTCCAGACAAAAGACCACATTTATTTTCCTTTTAGTCTTAAAAGTGTCTTTAAATAGGCTAAAGTTATAATTTTAAAAGTGTATAATGAATTGTAAATAATAACAAATTGCATTAGAAGCCCTAGAATGAATTTGTTTTTCAGAATGAATTTTCTTATCCACTAAAGCTTCTTATAAAAGATAATAGTATAAATTAAATTACTGATCATTCCCACTTAGGGATAAGGTTTATATTATATATATATTTTTGAATTTTTATATTTTAAAGAATTCAATATACAAGTGAAATTTGGCTTTTTTATTTTGTGACAAGTGTTTTTTTTCTATAATTTATTTCGTCTTTAGACTTCATATAAGTTTGTGATTTTTGTTGTTGGTTTAGAGAAATTTTTAAATTTTATATATTCAAATTTGTCTTTTCCTTCACAGCTTTTAGATTTTATATTTGAAAGCCTGTCCCACTCTAAAATAACTGCAAATAAAGAGAAAATCTAACTTTCACATTTCTAATTTTTATGTATAATTTTTATAATATATGTATGTAACATATATACTGTTCATATTTGTACATATATATATATTTTCGAATCTTGAGTCCAGCTAAGGACTGAAGACTGTTGTAATGACTGTTTTCTAAATGGCTTATCAGTTATCACAGTGCCATTTTTAGAATCAATCTAATCTATAATTGATTAGGGAAGACAAGTGTATCATGTGTTAAATCCCCACACAGAGGTGGGTCTGTTTACTTTTTTAAAAGAATGCTTTGTTATTGGTACAAATGTTTATTTCTGAATCTAGATATTTAGAAAATTATAATGTGGAATTATGGTATTGAAGACTCCTTTGAATCCATCACTTTGCTTCTGAAAATTATCTTAATCTTTTTAGGGATTTGCTTAAACAAGTGCAGAAACTTGCTTAGAGTTGATGAAGTTGAGTTGTTTTAGACTAATAAAAATTAGTACCATTGAGCTTCAGAATAGCTGGTAATGCTAGGCCGAGGATATTAAGGGAAGCAATGAAATAACTTAGAAATTTACTGTAGGCATGGTCGCATTCAAAGGTAGAAAAGATGTGTAAAGTCTTATTTCAGCAATTATTAAGGTATTTTTTAAAATAGAAGATATTACTTTTTAATACAAATCATTCTAGCTTTGGGTCCATTAATATTTGACCTGTAGACTTAGAAGTTGTTTTTTTTCTAATTCCATATTTTCATTGTTAATGTATCTAAACGAACCTGTCCCCTTTAAGCTATTTAAAAATTGTTTTGATTGTTTTTGTGGTTATACACACAGTTGAGAAATAGTTACAGTTTTATGGAATTTTTTATTTTTAATGAAATATAGAATTTGTCCTTTTTAAAAAAAAGAATAGAAACCAAAAAATAAAATTGATTTTATTATCAGGTTAATTATTTTTAAAACACCCTCTGTGTCCAGTGTTACAACTTATTAAGTGAAGTTTTGTGTTTTTTTTCTTTTTCTTTAAATTTTATTTTTTAAATACTTTACTTCAAAGATCATAGGAAGAAATGTTGGTGCCTTCAAAGAAATAATTTGAATCACTGCTTGGCTGGCAATAATAGCATGGTGAAATGTGTCTTTGTGTGTTTTGTTTGTAGTACATCTTCATTACCTCCACTAGACTGGCCTTTACCAACTCATTTTGGACAATGTGAACTGAAAATAGAAGTGCAACCTAAAACTCATCACCGAGCCCATTATGAGACTGAAGGTAGCCGAGGAGCAGTTAAAGCATCTACTGGGGGACATCCTGTTGTGAAGGTATGAGATTTTAGGGGTGTGTTTCACAGATAACATATATCTGTTGTTGGTAGGGTCCATTCAGTCAGGTACTGCTGAGCCTGAAGAGAGAAAATTTTCAAACCTGAAAAGCTTCCATTAAGGTTTTGTGTCCTTGTTGATACAGTTGCACTTCTGCATTGTGGGGGTTTTTTTTTTGGCTAGGCTAAAAGATATTCTTACTGGACTGACTCTTACAGCTAGTAAAACTCTAGAGAAAGATCATAATGGTCAAATAATTGTTTTTCTGACTAAAAGAAAAGACTTTATAAGTACGGTGCATGTTTGTTTAAGGTCCAAATAATACAGAAAAGTAAAGAGAGAAGGCAGTGAATTACCTAAAGTCTAAATCCCTCAGAAATAAGCAGTTGGCATTTGATTAACAATCCAGGTAATTCTCTGTTTGTATGTTTAGTGGAATAGTAGGTGGTTGACTAGAAAAATGAATGGATTTTTAAAAATTTTTTTATTTTTTCCATTTATTTTTATTAGTTGGAGGCTAATTACTTTACAACATTGCAGTGGTTTTTGTCATACATTGAAATGAATTAGCCATGGATTTACATGTATTCCCCATCCCGGTCCCCCCTCCCACCTGGATTTTTTTTTAAAGGATAGGACTATTTATTGAACATTTTTGTAATTAAATTAATTAATTAGAAAATAAAACTAAAGTGAAATTATTAAAATTATATAATACCTGAGTGTATAAAATACAATACATGAGTTTTAAGAGTTGAATATTAACTTTAATTTTATTTGAATGAAACGTTTAAAAAATGAACCAAAACTATATGAACTGCTAATTCTGGATATTGTTCTTCACTTTAAGAGATCCTGAACAGCCTTTCTAAGACCAAAGAAATTAAATAAATTATTGAGAAACTGAATTTTTGTCTTAGATTTGAATGTTACAAATTGCTCCTTACTCTGAAAAATGAGGTAATTGTCTCTCTTAAACGTCTTCCCCCTACAATGCCCTCTCCCTCCTGAATTTTGTTGCTTATATTAATTAATCTTCTTTAGAAATCTATAGTCATCTCTCTGCCTCATGTCCCGCCACTCCTATTGTTTAGCTTAGTCCTGTGTGTAGTTGGATTCCAGGTTTAGTACTAATTCTTTTTTATTTCTTTTTAAAGTGCTTTTTTTTGTTTAAAAGTTTAAGGAGGGGTTTGGATTCTGTATTCCCTGGATGCTTTCATATTTGAAATTATTTGTTGCTTTTATATACTCAAACATCAGAATGGCTATGTTGTAATATGTTGTCACTTATTTTTTTCTCCTAGTACTTGTTTTATGGCATTGTGTATTTTTTTTTTCATTTATTTTTATTAGTTGGAGGCTAATTACTTTACAGTATTGTAGTGGTTTTTGCCATGCATTGACATGAATCAGCCATGGATTGGCATTGTGTATTGTAGTGGAGAAATTAATTGAACAAATATAGTTTATAGCTGATCATTTCCTATACTAGCCATATTTTATGATTTATTTTCATTATCTAAACATAGTTTATAGTTCTTGACAAACAAACCTTTACATTTTAGGTGGGTTTTTAAATGACTTGAAATGACAGTTCTAGAAAAAGAGAAAGAGATCAAATTTATGGTTACCAGAGGCAGGGGGTTAGAAGATGAGGAGTGGATGAGGGTAGTCAAAAGATACGAACTTTCAGTTAAAAGATTAGTAGTGGGGATGTAATGTATGGTATGGTGACTGTAGTTAACACTATTGTATGCTGTGTTTGAGAGTTGCTAGGAGATAGATCCTAAAGTTCTCATCACAAGAAACACCCTCCCCCCATATAACTATAAGAAGTCATGGATGTAAATGAAATTTATCATTGTAGTAAGTTTGCAATATATGTAAAAATATATGTAAATCAAGCAATTATTCTGTGTACCCTAAAATTTCAGTTCAGTTCAGTCGCTCAGTCGTGTCCGACTTTTTGCGACCCCATGAATCGCAGCACACCAGGCCTCCCTGTCCATCACCAACTCCCGGAGTTTACTCAAACTCATGCCCATTGAGTCGGTGATGCCATCCAGCCATCTTATCCTCTATCGCCCCCTTCTCCTCCTGCCCCCAATCCCTCCCAGCATCAGGGTCTTTTCCAATGAGTCAACTCTTCGCATGAGGTGGCCAAAGTATTGGAGTTTCAGCTTCAGCATCAGTCCTTCCAATGAACACCCAGGACTGATCTCCTTTAGGATGGACTGGTTGGATCTCCTTGCAGTCCAAGGGACTCTCAAGAGTCTTCTCCAACACCACAGTTCAAAAGCATCAATTTTTCGGTGCTCAGCTTTCTTCACAGTCCAACTCTCACATCCACACATGACCACTGGAAAAACCATAGCCTTGACTAGACGGACCTTTGTTGGCAAAGTAATGTCTCTGCTTTTTAATATGCTGTCTAGGTTGGTCATAACTTTCAGTACTGTATGCCAATTATAGCTCAATAAAACTGAAAGAAAAAGATCAGGAAAACTCAGCATAGGAATTTTACCTTTTGTTATTAAAGCTTTAGTTTACTCTTAAATGAGAGCTTAATTTAGGAGAAGGATTCTTTGCTTCATTCTTTTATCTTTTTTTTTAAAGCCACACCACGCAGCTTCCGGGGTCTTAGTTCTCTGACTAGGGATTGAACCAGGGCCCTGGCAGTGAAAACACTAAGTCACAGCCACTAGCCCACCAGGAAATTCCCCATTTCTTGTGTCTTTGACTTTTCTTCAGTTCAGTCGCTCAGTTGTGTCTTACTCTTTGCGACCCCATAGACTACAGCACGCCAAGCTTCCCTGTCCATCACCAACTTCCAGAGCTTGCTCAAACTCAAGTCCATCGAGTCAGTGATGCTATCCAACCATCTCATCCTCTGTTGTCCCCTTCTTCTACCTTCAATCTTTCCTTGCACCAGGGTTTTATCCAATGAATCAGTTCTTCTCATCAGGTGGCCAAAGTATTGGAGTTTCAGCTTCAGCATCAGTCCTTCCAATGAATATTCAGGACTGATTTCCTTTAGGATGGACTGGTTGGATCTCCTTGAAGTCCAAGGGACTCTCAAGAGTCTATTCCAACACCACAGTTCAAAAGCATCAATTCTTCAGCACTCAGCTTTCTTTATAGTCCAACTCTCACATCCATACATGACTACTGAAAAAACCATAGCTTTGATTAGGTGGACCTTTGTTGGCAGAGTAATGCCTCTGCTTTTTTTTTACACATTCATGAAGCTTTATTGCAAAAATATGGAACGCTTCACGAATTTGCGTGTCATCCTTGCGCAGGGGCCATGCTAATCTTCTCTGTATCGTTCCAATTTTAGTATATGTGCTGCCGAAGCGAGTACTGCCTCTGCTTTTTAATATGCTGTCTAGGTTGGTCATAGCTTTCCTTCCAAGGAGCAAGCGTTTTTTAATTTCATGACTGCAGTCACCACCTGCAGTGATTTTAGGGCCCAAGAAAAGAAAGTCTGTCACTGTTTCGATTATTTCTCCATCTATTTGCCATGAAGTGATGGGACTGGACGCCATGATCTTCATTCTTTGAATGTTGAATTTTAAGCCAGCTTTTTCACTCCTCTTCTACCTTCATCAAAGGACCCTTTAGTTCCTCTTCGCTTTGTGCCATAAGGGTGGTGTCATCTGAGTATCTGAGGTTATTGACATTTCTCCCAGCAATCTTGATTCCATCTGTGCTTCATCCTGTCCCGCGTTTCACACAATATGCTGTGCGTATAAGTTAAAAAGCAAGGTGACAGTATATAGCTTTGACGTACTCCTTTCCCAGTTTGGAACCAGTCTATTATTCCATGTCCAGTTCTAACTGTTGCTTCTTGACCTGCATACCGACTTCTCAGGAGGCAGAGAAGGTGGTCTGGTATTCCCATCTCTTGAAGAATTTTTCTGAGTGAGTTGTGATCCACACAGTCAAAGGCTTTGGCATAGTCAATGAAGTTGAAGTAGATGTTTTTCTGGAACTCTCTTGCTTTTTCTATGATCCAGCGGATGTTAGCAATTTGATCTCTGGTTCCTCTGCCTTTTCTAAATCCAGCTTGAACATCTGGAAGTTCTCGGTTCACATACTGCTGAAGTCTGGCTTGGAGAATTTTGAGCATTACTTTGCTAGCGTGTGAGATGAATGCAGTTGTGCAGTAGCTTGAACATTCTTTGGCGTTGTGTTTCTTTGGGATTGGAATGAAAACTGAGCTTTTCTAGTCCTGTGGCCACTGCTGCATTTTCCATATTTGCTGGCATACTGAGTGCATCATTAACAGCATCATCTATTAGGATTTGAAATAGCTTAACTGGAATTTCATCACCTCCACTAGCTTTGTTTATAGTGATGCTTCCTAAGGCCCACTTGACTTCGCATTCCAGGATGTCTGGCTCTAGTTGAATGATCACATCATGGTTATCTAGGTCATTAAGATCTTTTTTGCATAGTTCTTATGTGTATTCTTATCACCTCTTAATATCTTCTGCTTCTGTTAGGTCCATCCCATTTCTGTCCTTTATTGTGCTCATCTTTGCATGAAAATATTCCCTTGGTATCTCTAATTTTCTCAAAGAGATCTCTAGTCTTGCCCATTCTATTGTTTTCCTCTATTTTTTTGCCTTGTTCACTTAGGAAGGCTTTCTTATTTCTCCTTTCTCTTCTTTAGAACTCTGCATTCAGATGGGTATATCTTTCCTTTTCACCTTTGCCTTTCACTTCTCAGCTAAGTTCTCCTCAGACAACCATTTTGCCTTTTTGCATCTCTTTTTCTTGGGGATGGTTTTGATCACCACCTCCTGTACAGTGTCATGAACCTCCATCCATAGTTCTTCAGGCACTCTGTCTATCAGATCTAATCCCTTGAATCTATTTGTGACTTCGGTGTATAATCGTAAGGGATTTTATTTAGGTCATAACTGAATGGTCTGATGGTTTTCCCTACTTTCTGCAGTTTAAGTCTGAATTTTACAATAAGGAGTTCATGATAT